AGAACTATCACCGTCAACTTGACATCGTCCGGTGTGCCAGACACGTTTTTRAGACTGAAGCCAGACACCATACCACACCAAACCACTGTTGAATTTATTATTACTTATTATAAATTTATTTATTGTAAATAAAATATGAATGTCATTAATCGTGTTCATTTTTAAGTCAATACTGTCATTCAGGTTTGAATATGTTCGACGTTCATAGTGTAAATAGGTATGTAATAGGTTAGGTAAATCATTTAAAAAATTAAAACTGTTATTACTTGTAAATTATATTTTCCAGCAATTTCTTCCAATTTGGCTTTGTCCGCAGCTAATTTAGGCAGTTGAATATGAACTGATGCACGGATAGTTGTCCCCAAGTTTGTTGGACAGAATGTTAAAAATCCCAACCGGTTATGATGCGAAAAAGGAAGTCTTTTTTCCACATCGTTTACCGCTGTTACGAGTCTTGCATACACCTGCAGTAAACAATAATTGACATGTTTGATAACTGCATAATTATATATTTTAATGGATTATAACCTCTCCCAAGTTTCCTCCTTGTTGCATGGATATGAGCCTTAAATGATCTTCTTCATTGCACCAAACCAGGAACGTTTTGTTTTCGTTATGGAATATACCACGGCCGGTCGGCCAGAATCGCGAAGCGTTAGCAGCCTATTTCAACATAAATACCTATTATTATATTACCTAATAAAGTATAATTTAATAGTACCTAACTAGCAACTACTTATTTAAAATTGCATGGATATTTTCGTGAAATTATTCAACGATACATAATTCTTAAGCTATCTTTGAATATTAAGAAGTATACCTGCTATTATATAGAGCTTAATGGATTTTAATTTAAAACGAAAATGTTAAAATTAGGAATAGTATTATATGCCGACTTTGTATTATTCATATAATAAGTTATGCGTAAGATACGCGTTAACCAAAATATTACACCTCTGCCCCTCCTTTTAATAAATTCCTTTAAGGACACGTACTACTATAGAGTATATTTTTACAATAGAGATTATCTCATGGTGAATCTCAATATGAACCAATATTTGTCTAATCTAAATGATTTCAATAGATACATTGGTAATAAATTTAAATTTTAAACGGTGTCATAATAACACCAAAATATTCAGGTTGGTAATAATGACAGACTAAAAACTAGTTAAAATATAATAAATTAGTCCATTGAGATTTAAAATCAAAAATTCGGATGTGTTTCGGAAATGTTCCTGTTATACAGTCGACTCTTGGTAACTCGAACCTTGATAACTCGAAATTTTCGATACCTCGAATAATTAAAATTCCCCTTTAAATAACAATAACACTTAATGTTTAAATAATCTTGTGAACTCGAAAATTAATTTGACAAGTTTTTGATATGTCAAATTTTCTTATCCAAATTTAGTACTAAAAATAGTTTATCAATGCAATTATTTTTCATTAAACCYGAACATTATAGTCAACGACATTATTTGTAATTTAAACCTTGATAACTCCATACAATAGATATCACTTTTAGTTCTATGCCGTCTGTTCGTTTAATCGTTTATCGTGTAAGTATGACAGTGTTAAGACAGTGGTTATTATGGCCCAAAAAAAGAAAATTAACAACATTATCACTTTACGAAAAAGTGAACTTGCTTAAAATTATTGAAAAAGGCGAAAAAAACAAGACATAGCCAAAGACATACTTTTAATAACTCGAAATTTTTAGTAAGTCGAATTTTTTTTTACCTCTTGAACTTCGAGTTACCGAGAGTCGACTGTATTATGTTTAATATTATGCATTTATCGTTGAAATTTAAGTACAATAACCACAAATTATATGCATATTGTGTTTAAAATAAATTATCATATTAATAAACATAAACATTTTGGGATTCGATATTATAATGCGGTTATATTATTGTTTAAAACAACTTATATGCACACATAACCAACAAATTACATGAAATTAAACCAAATGTAGATTACTGTCCTTTTTATCTAAAATTGGCCAGAAAATTTGAAGTCATCATCACCTAACTTAGAATCAACCTCACAAAAATTTCACTCAACTTCTTTATAATTAAAAGGGACACCTCAATACGCACCGCATGAGAGCTCGCATCGACATTAAAACATTTATACCGAATACTGAATATATGCCCAGTTCAGAGAAAATATTATACTTTCGGATATATCTCAATCAAACTCATCATCCCCCCCCCCCTATCTTCTTAACATAATATAACTATTAACTTTACCCACTCAATGTATTTTCAGCTAGTAATTACAATTCAAGTTGTCTATTAGTATAATTTGTACATTTTTACCTATCATACACATTATGTAATTTGAAACCTTATAAATATCATTCAATAGTCATTGACGCCACGGTTTTATAACAGAAGTATACAAACGGACATATTAAAGGAGTTAAATGTAGGCAATCTTAGATGCACGTTGAATACCATGCAAGCATAGGTACTATGGCAATAATTATCCATAAACATATAACTAGTAATAATAACTAATATGTATTTGTTAATTTTTAATGGATGATTTTTTTTGAATTTATATTTAACTAATAAATATTACTACAAGCTTATTTCATACAAAAGTTCAATATAAAACATTTTAAAAGTGAACCCTAACATGCTAAGAAAATAATAAGATAGTTTCACAAAAATTAAAAAATAGATATTTATAGTTTGTATAAAATTTGAATARTAGATGTATTTTTTTTTCATTTATAAACAAATCCGTTATTCTAAATTATCAAAATTTAAGTTATTTCATTGTTTATCAAAAAAATGAATGTAGGTATGTAATGTGATGTAATTCCATTAAGTATTATATTATAATAAATATTACACCTACTTGCATTTCGATATTTTATTTATTTTTCTAGGTAAAATAACTACCAAATCTATACATTGTATACCTACTGTGATTATTATATATCAATACAATATTCTAATAATATATTTACAAAACACAAAAATAATTAGTAAGAAAACGTAACACTGGCATTTGTTTTTTCCAGCATAATAGTGCAAAACATAGCAAATTTATGTTTAGCAGATCACGTGTAGCTTAAAAATTAGAGTGAATCGACCTCTTGTGACACTTGATGGTGTGGACATTATCTGTGTTAATGTGTTAGTTTTATATGATAATTCAATTTTTAATTTATGCTATAATATTATGTACACAAAACCTGCTAAAAAATTCAACCATCATAAAAAAACCACTTAAAAACACACAAATAATATACTATCAAGTTTCATAAGAGATCGATTCACTCTAATTTTTAAACTAACGAAGCTATTACACGTGATCTGCTAAGCCCAAATTTCATAATGTTAAGCACTGTAAAACGGAAACAACAGAATGCCAGTGTTTCGTTCTCTTAAACAAATTTTTAACAATTTAAATAGCTATAATCATAATATACACATCGAATATTATTTTTATTTATATTCAACATTTACATTTTAAAGATATTATATTACATACCTATATTTTCTTATATACCCAAAAGTGCTATGTATCTACTATCTGTTAGTACCTACTTAATAGTACGCACCTGTAAAAATCTGTCACCTTCCTTAAATAGAAAATGGTCATCGATTAATTTCTGCTGTACATCTTTAGACATGCCAGTTAAGGGATAAAACTCTCCTTTCAATTCACCGCTAAGTCCTGTGAGCGTGCAAGAAACCTTATTCTCTATCTCCTTGTACTGCTCTTCGGTCAACAATGGATTGAACGGATATCCTTCTAGTGAACGGCCACAACGTACCCTCGTAGAAATTATATACTTGCACTATCGAAAAAATGCAAAAGTTTTGAATTTTTGGTTCAAGTTTGTCAACAAATAAATATTATACTTCTGGATCCAGGTCACCAAGAGTGTTCACGTCCCCCCAATTTTTTGCGGGATGTTTGTCCGTAGACTTAAATCCTTTATGATAGTCCTCGATGATTGGATCGAATATTGGCGCAAACACTGTGTATGCGTCAGCGTCGGGAGCATAGATACCAACTCCCGAATCATGGTTTTCAAATCCTTAAATATATGTGTATATAATCAAATAAATAAATAATAATAATTAAAAAGCTGTAAAATAATATTATTTAAGGTTCAAAATAAAAACTATCGCATTTTTATCTAAATTTTTTTAGTTGTACCTGCATAGTGTATTATTATAAATATAAACTTACTGCTTTATATTTGTATTAAGTACTTTGTCACTTTGAACAAAATTGCCTAAATTATATCGTTTAAGTATATCATCACTCTTTTTTTGTACATTTTATATGAAAAAATATTTTTTAAATCTTTATAATATTATTTTGTTATGTTAAAGTAGCGTATTTTATGTTCTATAAAATCAATCAGTACATTGAAAATGAGATTCAATAAATCATGAGTCATGACCGAAACGTTTAGCTGACTTGCTTGTACGAAAGTATAATATTATATAGAACACTCTTACCATAACATTGGATTCAAAACGCGTCTACAAGCTTCAACGATAACATCTTACTTGATAATAATAAGTAATAACTATTATTTAATAACATAGTCCTCACACATACACTCTGTGTAAGACATACAATTACATAAATACGACTCCCCTCAATCCTTGGTTTTTATAATATWATACAAAGGTAGATTACTTACAATTATTTTTTTAACAACTGAAGAAAATATGATATATATGTGTTATTTAGAACTGTTTTAGTATCTACTATTAAGTTTAAAAAAATTAGTACAACAAAAAAACTGAAAATAGACTTGGACTGTATACACCTTTTGTATTTTGTCTACTTATTATTTCTATATACCTTTTTAAATTCTTTTAAAGTAAACATTTTTTTACATCCAATATTCGTATTTTATTCTTATGTAATAATGCTTTTAAATTATTTCAATCTTAATCAAAAACTTATGAGTATCAAAATACATAATGCATATCCGTTAAATTCTGACCTTGAAGATTAATGCAGGTAAGGGTTTCAGTGTATAGGTTTTGGGAAGCAGCGATGCTGAGTACAGAATCCGGGATATTGATCCTGGGGCGTCAAGCAGTCTAGCTCGAATTCCCAGTGACCTACATTTTAACGCGCGACATCCCCGACAACAAAAAAAATGTGTATACGTGCTCGGAGTGTCGACAATGAAAACGTTGTTATACGATTTATTTACTTATGTCATTAATCATTAGTGAAAAAGAATAGTATTTTGAATTTTATTTTTTTCATTTTCCTTAGTGACATGGGCGTTGCCAAAAAGGTGTCTAACGGATACATGATTGACAGCAAATGTTCTAAATATAACCGAAAGACTGAAATGCGTCAAACATATAAAAAATATTTAATTTAATTTGAAACAACCATATATGAACTTACTGCAATTGGTAAAAATTAAATTAACTAAAAATTATTAGCTGTAAATATTTGTAATATAATAAAAAAACGAGAGCACAGATAATTATATTGTACCTATAATTTTAGAAATAGTCTATTTTTTTATACCTATTTTATTATTTTTATAGTTATTCAAATTAAACTAATATACATATTTTTGTGCAATCGTCATTTTTATTTATTTGACTGATATATATATATATATATATACCAACTAAACTATATATTTTATTATTGTACAATTTAGTTGAAAAATACCTATACTAATTTTTTTTATTAGAAAAATAGAATTTTTGATCTGTTTAAAAATTATACGATACGTCAATGCGTATAAATACAGTTAAAAGCATGCATGAATCTGTCGAAGATGTCCATTGATAAATTATAGCAACTTCGAAGAAAATTCAATGCAACCAAAAAAAATTACATTTAAACATCTAGAATATAAAAACATATTTTTTACACAATTCTTAAAATCATAGTGTTATAATATTATCTAAATAGTTGCCTATCTAATACAATATAATCCATAGCAAACATAATGCAATATTTAAAGAAATTCTAGGTATTATGTTTTAATAAATATTGTTACTTTAAACATTTCTATTAGATTCCATTTGTGTGTATAGGATACATTAGTCTATACTTATAATATAATATACAACTCTAATTAATTTTTAAAACAAATCAGGTACCTATTGTGATTAATTATTATATAGCAAAAGACTACAATTTTTTTTTATTTATTATATAGAAGCATAAAAAATGTATACTAATCGTGGTGAAATGTATTTCWCTTCAAGCTATTTGAATAAATAATATTGAGTCTTAAACAAATTATTGAAGTTTTATAAAATTAAAGTTGTTCATACCATATATTTAGAAGTTGTATTATTTATTTCAAACTATTATTTGTGMAGATATTCACCATAACTACGATAATTCTGCACTTGGCAAATGTTATATAAAAATATTTAATTTTCCATTTTAATATATTTGAACTGCAATGCCTACATTAATGTCATAACTTCAATGTACGATATGATAATTAAATACCTAACATGAAGTTAATAACTTTTGTTATTTATTGTAATATTATTATACCAACGTATTTCATAATAATAATGACCTTATATCGTTATATATAATAATGTGTTATAAATTATTTTGAGCGTAGGCTTACCAGATTGCAMACAATCCAAAAGTGTCGATCCAAAGTTGGTCTTTTTGTTCTTTAATTCATCTAGTACCTGTTTTGTCAAATATTTCTTTAGCAAAGATTTGCTGTCAGAGGAGTTTAACGAACACCAACCATCTTCTAATTTTGCTAATACTGCGGGATCCATGTTGAAGTAGGTAGGTATACAGAAAAATATCTAAATTTTTAATAAATTAAAAAATAAAAGTTCCTGAATTTTATTTATCACATTTTACAAAAAATTTCAATTTTTAAACAAATAACTATAAGCTAAGATTAAATATATCTATCCATGTACATGTCAAACGAAACTTTTTAGAAATTTTAATTGAAAATAATACATTAATTTCCTAAAACCATAATACAATTTCACAAGTCAAAACAGAATATATATTTTTTATCATTTCATGTTTATAACACACAAATTATTTATTATTTWTTATTATTTTTTAATACAATTTTAATTAAAGAAATAATTATTACCAATATTGTTTTATCATAATATATTGTATATACCTTTAGATAATATTCAAGTTTTTGTRTACCTAATAAAAGTACTGAATATTGTACTGAATACGTTTTTAAATCATACAACTATCGTGTTCTTCAGCTCAATGTAACTGAAATAGTTAATTATTTTAAAGTTTTATTGGTACTCCTTCATCTTTACTACCATTCCACATACAAATAACTATCAAATAAATTATTTTGCCATAACAATTATTTTTGATTTATTTTTAAATATTTGATTAAATAAATTTATAATTATATGTATTAATATTTATCCATAAAATAAGCATTTATAGGTTATTAAGCTACCTTTTAAAACTTACTCTATAAAAAAATCGACGTTTATTGGTTTTTAGCACTGTTTTATTTTACTAAAATATGATGAATTGGTTCTTCGTGTTTATCTTCATCACAAATAAAAACGGAAAATTAAGATCACTATGGTAACTATAATGTCATAATGATTAAGGACAGTTAAACAATAATAAAAATAAATTATCGTATTAGATACTATATATAGTGATCACTGAATGAATTTTCAATGGAGTTTTTAWATGTAATATTATTACTTTTAGGTAACTAAAGTTTTTTTGATTGTTTGTTTTTCAGTCATAATGTACTACAACTTTTAATATTTAAATTAAATTCCTTAATTTATCTTAGTAAAATATTACAATTTATCTGAAATGTATGATTGTATTTAAAAACATTAATTTAAAATAATATGAACTAAATCCCTATAAATACTTTACAATTATTCTAAGAAAAATCGATGTAACTACAATAATAATGTTGGACATCATTAAACAGTCCACTATATTAATCATCTAAACTATATTTATTAATTCATAAAAAAAAATACTAAATAGTATAATAAAATTTAAATAAATAGTTAATAACTATATACAATGTTTTATTGAATTTTTTACTTACGCCTTCCTTAGATTTTTTAAAATAGTAGCAAATTTATGTATCAGTCACACAGGTGAAGTGTACCGTAAGCGATATATTTTGATATTGGGGAGCTTTATCGCCGCCAACAGACCTGCGGCCTTTAGTTTCCTCCCGACGTAGTCTGGCAAAGCCATGCGCTTTACGCAGCACTCACGCCTAGGCGTATAGTATCGATATAAAATTTCACTTATTATTTTATTTTATTAAATTACAACGATTGTCTACTTACAATGTTAAACATTGAACAATTTAAAAACATTGTTCACATTTTTTTGAAATATAATTTGTTTTAAATAGCTTTATGCATAATTATATTTTTAATATTTTGAACAATTAGGTACCTATTCAATTGATATTATTTGTATATTGGGCATTTAAACATTTCGGTTATTACTCCTGTCAACAATGATGAATCTATTTCTCTAWAGATAAGTAGTTAAATAAATTATTCTGGTATTTAAATTATATACTATACAACATAAGTAAACCACATGGTTTTATAATTAACTAACTTCTTGTACTATACAACTTCGTCCTGGTTAAAATCAATCGATCTTACTAGTTAATCATCTTCCATTTTGTTTCAGTTGAAATATGATATTTTGTATATACTATGTATAATGCAAACACTATTACAATGATAAATTTTTGTCAACATGACAACATATATTAACTTGAAATAATAATTTAATATATATAATAATAATAATAATAATTATTATTATTATTATTATTATTATACACTATTATAATAAGCTATAAGGAACCTTGTATTGAGTTTTCAAGCATTACGACCCATGAAAAAATAAATCAATCTTTCTTATGTCTATTATATACAAATATAGGTAGTCAGGGTAGGGGCACAAGGGCCATACCCCCCCCCACCCATGGGCCATATCATATAATGTATAAAAAATAATCGTAAATTTATTAATTTTGGCTATGTATTGGTTGGAAGTTAAAATTTCAAAAAATGTAATGTTTATTTTTTTATCAAAACACCGTAGATTGATAAGCGTGTCATTATCATCAATATTTTCCAAATATTTTGAAAATTAAAATCGCTGCTGTTATTTGAATGTAATTTATTTAATTTTTTTTGCCCCCCCCCCTTGTAGAAATTCTGGCTACACCACTGTAAGTAGCTCAAAAATTGTATAGCCGCGTATAGAAAATGCAAGTATAAACATTTAATTAAATTATGATCTACCAACGTTCATCTTTTTTAGAGTTACATCAAAAAAAAATTATAATAACTAAATGAGATAAAATAAAAATATAAAAATTTAGTTTCTGGTTTTTTCTATGTCCATAATATTGACATTCTTAATAATCATATTACTCCATATACGAAATAAACGTTGAACGCTAAGTTTTTTCAAATACCAAGAAGAATAATTATTGTATGTGTATATAGGTATTTTGATTTTCTCACGATTTCCAAGTGACTTCAAATCTAACTTTAGTACGGCCAAATGACAAGAACTGTCCAGTTTGATTCGCCCCAAAATACATTGTGTTTTTACGATCTGTAAAATACACATAATTAAATAAGTTTCGTTAACATAAGTTACATGCTTTTATTATATATATTAGGTACTTCTTGTATGGCTTCTTGATCATCTTTCAAAATTCTATTTAGTAGTTTTTTTATTATTTCGACTGTTTCAGTTGTTTGTCTAGCAACCTTTTTTATGACAAACAATTAATTATTATCTACTAGTACTTAAAATTAAATTTTTTCAATAATAATAATAACTAAAAAATGTCAAAAATATATCATTTTATTGATTCGGTATTTATTATACGTGGTCACTGCAGGTCACGTGGACGAACTCYTAAGTATAAAACGTTGTCGCTATAATTATTCGCAGCATCATAATCGTGAATCAAAACCATAATATTAAATTATGATATTTGTAGATCACAATATGAAAAAATATAAATCTATCATTTTATTGACTACACTAAATTTGAATGTAATAGAACGGAATTTGATAGTCAAAGACAAATTTTGAAAAACGGACACATCCGCACAGAACATTAGTGTTTAAGTTTAAATATAGGTATCAATAGTGTAACCGTGGGAGGAGGGTTATAACTGCATGTAGAGACCAGATTTATATGAATTTAAAATCTTTAAAATAAGATGTTTCTATGCTTTATAATTTCATCAAAATAATATTTTATAAACAAAAATATTATTTTATGAAAAAATGTCGTTTTCATAAAAATGTATTAAATACTGAAAAAACAAAAAAAAATATTTAAATTAATCCTGATTATCAAAAAATTATTCAAACAGTCAATTTTAGTCTATAATATAGAGATAATAGATTGGTCTGCCTACCTATATTGTTTATTTGTATTTTATATGTGTGATTGTAGCACATAGTTATATAGGTACCTAAAATTCAGATTTATATGAATTTGAAAAAACAATAATAATAACATTTATAAGTAATAAAAACAAAAATGTATTGTATATTTTTGAATTTCTTAATTCATGTATAACTTATGTGCAATGCTCGAATTGGGAAAAGATAAGTAGAGGAGCTCAATCCAACGATTTAAAAACTGCGTTCCAAGTGCACAATTAATCAAAACAGACCCGTGGGGGGCAAAGCCCCCCACACCACGCTTCCCACCACCAACCTTACGTACATTTTGAATACCTACCACTTTTCAGCTAGGTACACATAATTTAATTGTATGAAAAATACTGATTGTTATACATATTATAATATTTTTAATGTCTTCCATTATTATAATTTTAATAATTAATTGAACACAAAATGACTCGAAAAGTCGAAATTCGCCAAATTCGATCACAATGAAAAATCGAAAAATTCAAAACACCGATAAATGATAACTATAACAATAATAACTGAAACTGATAACATTTCGTTCGGAACCATAGAGTAAGATCTTAACCTGTATTCAGAACACGACTTTTTTAGATAATACCACCACACACTTGTATCTGTGCACCATATCTATTCTATGAACTGTAGAAAAGTACGGCTGTAGATATTAAACCGTGTAGAAAAGATATGATAAATTATTAAACTATAATATCAAAAATRATTTTGATACCTATGAAAAATAGTAAAAATTTTATATAATTGACATTAATTAAAAATCCATATTTTAATAAAAATTATTTCGGTAATTAGTTTGTACCGTCCCCCCGTCTAAGTAAATAAAAATAGTAGGGGAGCACCGCCCCCCCTGCGCACCTCCCACCCGATTCGAGCACTGCTTATGTTGGTATTGAAATATATATTCCATCTAAATATTAATACATTTTGATAAAAAATAACAACTGTCAAACAATTATTGACAATATAAATTTCATAAAATCTTTATCAAGTCTCGATAAATATTTTTGTTTTATTAAAATTTAAAACTATCTATCACATACTATTATTATCAGTGTTAAAAGGTCCATTTACTCTTTGGTTAGATACCTAATTTTAAAAACAGTAAGTTTTTATAGCTGTAGTTGTAGCAAAAGCATTGTGATTATTCGACCTTTCAAGATTTGAGCCTCTAATAAAATAGCCTCAAGTGTCTACGATAAATACACTTACTGACTTTAGATAATCTATTTCTGTTTCAATTATCATATTTGTCTGTTTCATTGTATGAAACAAAGAAGACGCAGTGTTGCGGAAGTCCGTAGAATCATTTTGTATTTTATGATAAAGATTTCCATATGATTCGTATTGAGGATCTATTTGCATTTCCTATTTAAATTGCATATTTTAAAACTTTATTTGTATATAATAATTTAAAATCAAAAAAATAATAAACTAGATGAGTATAAAAAATATAGATACAGATTTCGATACTGTTAGTGAAACTGAATCAAACCCCAAAATGTCATCATCTAGATCCAAGGGTAATAATTTATCGAACGATACTTGATTACTGTTAAACATTTCTTCTTTAAGCTCTAAAACAATAAAAATAAAAATTATGATATAGAAAATATAATCATCTACTAAAATTTAAAAAAAATGCATGAAATAATAAACTTGCTGGATATTGTTGAAACATTTTTATTGTAAACCATTTGTAAATAATTGTTTTCTTGTTTGGTTTTCTCAATCATCTCACTATAATTTTTTATTTCAGATATATATTCTTCTAATTTTTTATTTTCTTGTCTTAGATTGTTCATTTCTATAAAATTAAGTAGAAATTCTATAAATGCCTTTTTTACAGTGACAGTCATTTTTTAAGTATTGAGTTGGTAGTTGTAGGTACCTCGTACTTATACAGCAATAGGTTAGATATCTATCCAACTAAATACAATTTCAAAATTATTCTTAAGAGTACGTAACAGAGGTATTTATTGTCTCCGTCTTACCAGTGCATAATATAGCAAATTTACGCAYTGGTAAGACGGAGACAACAAATACCACTGTTACGTACTCTTAATACAGATAAATTACGATCAACTCATGATAATAGTATATCCTAATTGATTTTAAACGGTCAGCGCCGGCCCAAGATACGAGCGAACCGGGTGATTGCCAGCGGCATTACTTTTATAGGGGCACTTTTAATATATTATGAATAGGTATTTTATAAATTTTAGTGTAATATTCTGTTATAAATTTTTTTTTTTATTGATTATACGTCACTTTCCAGTTTTTATTATTATAATACAAACATTAAAAGTAATATACAATACCTTACATATTATAATCATTAACCCGAGAAAACCAAAAAAGTATGTGTTACAGCCGATACGTTTCAGATATAGGTTAGTCGCCATTGGACTGTGTTGCAGGTTATTATTATAGCTATTAATCAATATTCAACTCGTCTGGAAAAGGAATTTATGTGTCTATCTCTATATTAAGTATGTTGAAAAATTGTAAACTAGAACTAAATGACTGTAGAGGTCAGGGATATGACAATGGGCAAATATTAAGGGCAAAATTAAAGGCGTTCAAGCACGATTATTAATTTTTTTATGCCATGTGGTTGCCATTTACTGAATTTAGTATTCGGAGACAGTGTTTCTTGTTCTATTGAGTCAAAGAACTTTTTTGGGAAGGTTCAAAAAATTTATGT